TTTCCTGTTCTAAGGTTTTTTCAGGTTAAATCTTATATTTTTGTATGTTTTTTTATTGTTCTATGCACTTCTGTTCAAAATATTTAATATGAAACTCTAGAGTCTGTTTCCACAATATTCACAACTCTCCCAACACGAAGAAGGTTTACTGAATCAATCCAAAGTTTAGGGTTTTAACCAAAAGTTCCGAGTCCAATGTGCTCTATGAATCTATGATTACATTCACTCAAATATCTAAGAAAATAAAAATCAATCTAATACCTAAACTATCAATTTCCAAATTTCATCTCATCATTTTCAATGCACTAAACATATGATTTTATTTTATTTTATTTATTTAATTTTTATAGTTTTTATCAACACCAAATTTCATCTTACTTTACAAATAAATCCATTTCAGGAAATTAGATAAATCCCTAAACGGAAGTGGAAGCTCCAATCAACATAAGCTCAGATCTCAAAAAGCTTCAGTACGGCCACTGTAACTACTATATCTTTTCACTTCCTTTTAAGCCTCTTAACTATTAGATGCTTGAGAAAAATACATGCATGCGTACTTCTTCATAACATAATTATATTTATTATATTTTTGAGAAAACTCAATAATATAATGAATACAGCTATGCTATATTGAAAGTCCACACGCATACAAAAATCACACTTGGATAATTTTTCCTTCAACCCTTTATGTTAGTTTTTCATTTATGTGGCACACAGTCATTTATTTTAGTAGTAATTCATTAACTAAAAAGAAGATGATCATGTCTCTTCCCAATAGACACCACTATTTTAATAGTAATTCATTAACTAAAAAGAAGATGCTTATGTCGTTTCCCAATAGACACCATATTTTTTCGCTTTAATTAATTAATTCAATTATCCTAAATGAAGAGACATGAGTCATGTCTCTTCCCAAAATACATCAATAGACACCATATTTTTTCGCTTTAATTAATTAATTCAATTATCCTAAATGAAGAGTCATGTCTCTTCCCAAAAGAAATTGTATTCTTTCGTTTTAATTAATTAATTAAATTATCATGAATCATATTGGTCAATAATCATCATGATGGATGATGGTTAATAATGGATAATTAAGAGAAAGGTTGTGTCTCTTCCTAAGAGACTTATCTTTTCTCTTATAATAAGAGAAGAGTCCTCTCTCTCCCAAGAAGAAATGTATCTTTTCTCTCCATCGGAAAGTACATACAGAAATAAGGATTAGAGAGAGAATTTCTATTTCTTCAAATTGAATTCTGCGATCATGAATGCAGGACGTATATCTCATTTATGAGTATGTGAAAATCATAAATTCAAAGACCTTGGTCATTTAATTTTATGAAATTTGGGTCATAAAGTTGCATTTTATAAATTTAAAAACCCTAACACTTCAATTTTGTTTTAGGTAAGAGTCGTTATTTGGCTCTTACAGAACATATGAGACATCTAAACCACCTCCCACCCACACCTTTATATATTAAAAGTGGAATTTACATAAATCCCCCTCAATTCTTATGCTCTCCTATCCTAACTTTTGATTGTTTTTTTATATTTATATCACCCCAAAATTTTCAAAAACACTATCATTTTAACTTTGAAATTCATTTTCCTTTTTCTTTTGTGCATATGCAAGATTTTATATATATATATATATATATATATATATATATATATATGTAAAAACTGAAGATTAGGTGGTGGATATATAAATACATGGGAATTGAGTGGGAAGGTAAAAGAGTAAATATTTAGTATGTAACAAAATATTGCATGAAAGAAACTTTGTGCATCATTATTGAGCTGATATTTTCAGCTAACTACAACTAATTGGATTTATTTATGAGAGTAAGTAGAAAAAGATAGAGTAGAAGAAATATATAAATGATAAGAAATTAAATAATAATAGCAAGAAAATAAGAAAATAAATAAATAAAGATTGAAGGCCGGCAGCTTTACGACCTGCCGTTTGTCATTGAGGAAGGAATACAGCACAAAAGACATAATCGGGACAACTTGCTCTGCTGATTAGCTGACCATATTATTTTATTTTTATTTTTTAAATAAATAATTTATTTATTCATTTATTTATTTATTTGTCTGTTGCTAGACAATCCTTTCCTGTTATTTTATTGATTCTATGACTATTGTTTGATTGGGACGGAAACGACGACCGAAATTTAAGCTTTTAATCCATGAATTTTGAGGGTGCGTTTAACAAATATATTTATTTATAAATTTATCATAAAGAACCACTGAAGACATTTTTTATTTACAATAATTTATTGTTGGGGGACAATTACATGCTGAGGAGAAATTATTGTATACGGACACCGCATGTATCTCTGCATGCGGTGTCCGATCCTGACCGTAGATCACGGTGATCTATGGTCAGGATATATTTCAGTTTTAAATAATAATAATAAAATTTAGGTGGGGCTCATCATAATACATCCTGACCGTAGATCACCTGATTTACGATCAGGATCGGACACCGCATGCAAGATGCATACGATGTCCGTCCGTATGGAATAATTTTTCCATGCTGAGAGGGAGCGGAACTTGCTATTTACAAATCAGTCTATCTCTTTCATTCATTTTTCAAATTTTCAAATTTTATTTTGTTTTTGTTTTATCAAATTCTCAATAGTTTGATCATGACACGTGTAAATACATTCGTTCAGTAGTTTAAAAAAATCATATTGATGATTAATTTGTAAATATCATTGTTTCGGGGGGTCTGTATGTAATTTTATCCCAAAGTAATTTTCTTACCACCAATTTTTTTCAGTGTCATAATTATAAAAAATAGTTATTTTTAATGAAATTTTATAATACCAATATTAAATTATAAAACTCTTTTTTTGTCATGATAATCATAGAACTAATCTAAAGAAGTAATGATCATCCCAAAATGATATTGGACAGGTTCAAAATGAAGGATGTGAAGCCTGTCTCCATTTCGTTGGCTGCGCACTTTAGATTATGAACAGAGGTATATCCCATTACAGATACTGAGAAAGAATATATGGAACGTGTTTCATATGCTAGTTCTATTGGTAGCTTAATGTATGTCATAATTTGCACTCGTCCAGATTGAACTCAGGCAGTAAGTTTAGGGAGTAGATATATGACAAATCGAGAAAAGCAACAATGTAATAATGTTACCTGGATTCAGAGGCATTTATATGGCTCTACAAATACCTAATACATATTTGGCACCTCTGAACTAGAGACGCTTGGGTTTGTAGACTTTGATTATGCCACTGACTTAGATCTAATAAGGTTTACTAAAGGTTTTGTATTCGCTTTGGGAGGCTTCGCTGTTAGTTGGAGATCTTGTTTACAACGTACTATAGCCCTCTCTACAACTGAGACAGTATATGTTCATTTGTGATGTTGAAGGAGAAGTCATTTGGTGAGGCTTATATGGAGACTTTAGTGGGAAGTCTATGAAGATGCTTATCATTTGTGATAGTCAAAGTGCTATTCATATAACAAAAGTTCAAATATACCATAAACGAACTAGCACATACATTAGATTTCATTTTATTTGAAATATCATCACTTTGGAGAATCCTATCGACATGATGATAACACCTCTTCCATCACTGAAGTTAAAGCATTGCTTGGACATGTTCGAAGCAGATGAGCCCAAGGGACTAGGAACTTTGAGCTTCACTTTTGGCATAATTTTAAAGCAATGTGGAGATTTGTAAAGTTACACATTGAAATTTCTTACCAAATATATTTGTTTCGAAACATATTTCTTGATTAATATATTTATTATCAAATATACTTTCTTGCTTTATAAACTTCTTGTTTAATATATTTGTTTTTGAAAATAGGTATTGTTTAATATATTTGATATTAAAAATATTTTTTTGTCAAATATATTCTTTTGAAACTCTATAAATGCTCATGACAGGTCATGCGCAGATGAGTTTTCCGTGAGAGTGAAAAATTAAGCAAAAAATTGAGAGGTTTTGCATTCAACCTAATCCCCAACCACCTTTTTAATTAATTAAGTTTTTGCTACCACTATACAGTGGTTATTTTTCCGTTTACGAGTTTTTCTACATAAAGTGTTGCTCTTTTTGTTGCGTGATCGATCGCTCTTGATGACAATTGGCGTTATTTTCTTGACAATATATATAATAATTACATGTCTCACATCATTTTTATAGAAAAACATAACCTTGTCATATCACACATCATTTTTATATCCTTGCAAAATGAATAGGACATTGTCTTTCTCTTATGAGGTAGAAATGATGACTTGATCAGGATAAGAGCATAAAAACTCGCATCTAACTTGAGAACTAGTCAGAATATCATATCAGAATAAAAAACATAAAGACTCACATCTAACTTGAGAGCTCACTAAAGAAGAGATGATAGCATTTGATTTTAAATATAAAATACTGAAATACTGAGATAGATAGCATATGAAATTTCATCTAACAAAGGTGACAGATAGGGTAACTATATTAAGATAAGAAGCACAAGAGCTCGGATCAAACTAGAGAACAAATTGGTGGTCAAATGAAGATACAAAGCATAAGGACTCGCATCTATTCCAATTGATGATCAGTAAATATAATGAGTAAAAAATATAACAGAAAATACGATTAATTTACATCAGATGTTAAGATAAAAGGAAGATTTACATACGTATGACTCGATTATGCATTCCTACAGTTAAGATAAAAGGAAGATTTACATACGTATGACTCAATTCCTACGTAATTACACATCTAACACCTAAAATTCAATTTGTACATATATGCCGCCCTACACACATAAAAAAGTGTATTTTATCTTTTAAATTTTAAAATAATGATATTATTACGAGATATGAAAGATTTGGGTGGTATCGATGTCAAAATAAAAAATTTGGGGTTAGATATATAAATACATAGGAATTGGGCGGCATATATGTAAATGCCTCATTGTTCGAAGTTTGAAAATATTTAAATTTCCATTTTAAGACGATACCACAATATTACCTTTTATTTCTATTTAAATATCTTCTACCTTTTAAGCATTTTCTCTTATAACCATGAACATTACAATTTATCATCCAGATACAAAATTACATCAGCATATCCTGATACAAATTTTTCCCCAAAATGATCAAATCCCTTGGTCAGACTTCGTATGCACGCACATCAGTAATAGCCATCACAAAAAACATCATTATGGCTCATGATTATCTTATCATCAAATTCTACTTATTGTGTAGGACTCTATAGAGCTCATCACCTATGGCCTGTAACATGACTGGTTTCCTGATCAAACCATTCATACCTGAACGCAAGCACCGCTGCCAATCCGGCTCCTCGGCACTCGCTGTCAGAGCGACGATGGCTGGCCGACACCTACTCCTCAGCTTCCTAATCCTCAAAGCCACCTCAAATCCATCCATTTGGGGCATTTGAAGCTCCACAATTACAAGCTGGTAAGTGTTAGGCGAGGCACTGAAAGCACTGAGGCATTGGATCCCGGACGAAACAGAAACAACCTCGCAACCAAGTTTCTCGAGCAGTTTTCTTGTAACCGCTCGACTGAGACCATCGTCGTCGGCGAGTAGAACTCTGAGATTTTTGAAGTTTGGTGTGGAGGGGTTGGGGTAGTGAGGTAGGGGGTTTTCTGAAAAAGGAGTGGGGGGTTGAAGTTGAAAATGAAGGATTAGTTCTATTTTTTTAGGGAGACCTTTGGAATTAGGAACAATGAGGATATCACCATGCATCATCTGGAAAACAAAATAAATGTTAGAATTTTAGCTGGTGATTTCATAATTTATCATTTATACTTGGAAGATTTTATATATACATGCCACTCAAGTCCTATGTATTTACATATCTAACATCTATACTTCAACTTTCACAAACATACCTTCACTTTCTAAATGTTAAAATGATGGTATTTTTTATGTTATAAGAAAGATAGGAGTACTATAAATGTAAAAATTAAGTTAAGGTGTTAGATATGTAGAAAACATAGGAATTGGGTGGTATGCAAGTAAATGCCACTATATATTTTTGCATTATGAAGGGAAAAACAGCACAATAACATAAACAAACAATAATTTGTTCATTATTATATGCAATTTCAGAATTGAGCATTGCAGCATGGAGCGCACTGTGTGAACTATTTACTAGAAAAAAAAAAGGGCATTTGCATACATACCATACAATTCTCATGTATTTACATATCTAACATCTAAATTATCAGATATTACATTCATGGCATTCTAATCTTTAACATCACATCAAAAATACCATTATTACTACTTTTAAAAGTGAAATATGCATTTTCATGCATAGCTTTATAACGCCAGTGTTATAAATGAAAATATGGAAGTTCAGGTGTTAAGCATGTAAATACATAAGAATTGGGTGGTATGTTATAAATGTAAATATGAAAGTTCAGGTGTTAAGCATGTAAATACATAAGAATTGGGTGGTATGCACGTAAACTTCTCCCCCTAAGCATGTAAATACATAAGAATTGGGTAGTATGCATCTAAAAGGCCAGCAAATTATTTTTTTTTATTGGATGTTCTCAGAAACCAACGGTAAGCTGCCTTGCTGTTCCAAATCATCATCACTAATCATTATCACAATTAGTAGCATATGAAACTGGTTTTCTTTACAATTTCATCCTCATCTCTAAATAGAAATACAACCTCCCCGCATATTGGTACATTTGGTTTTTTATATGCAAGCTAGAATCTACCAAGTCAAATTTTATCACCTTAATAACAATATTAAGAACTCCAATATGCTCTGATATAGCCATTCCAAGCATATCGATCATAATTCCTTCGAAAATTCATCATAATATTGTTATTTTTCTCCACTCAATTTGCTTCTTAGTAACTTCTTCGCAACCATAATTTTAATCCAAATATCATGTAAGAGGTAAACGTCAAAATAATCCCCCGACTTTTTGCAGGGAGACATTTTAGTATGAGAGTTTATAAGAGTGTCAATTTAGATCCTATAGACTCTTTTAAAATGGGTTGAAATAGTCTCTAGTGAGTACTATTTTGGCCCCCACAAAAAAATATCCTGTGATTATTTTTGCTTTTTTATAAACTCTAGGACTAAAACGACCCAATATGAATAGTTAGGGGACTTATTTGGCACTTTATTCTATCATGTAAGTATTATTTCTATGATAAATAATCCTCCTTCAATGATATTATGTTATCAAAACATTCTAAGAAAACTAAGATAAACCAACATGGAAAGAGTATCATCCTTTTGTAAATAAATGTCCCCAACCTAACAAACCAGTATGAAATCAGCATACAAAAAAATCAGAGTTTCACAGCCCTGGAAAAAGTTCATTGACATCAATGTTGAGATATGAAATTTAGATCTTTCAAGGATGTTTACCTGCACAAGTTTTTTGCACATATTGAAGCTAAGGCCCATGTCATAACCCTCCGCATTGAGTCTCCCAACACGTTCATTTGATGAACTCGAATCACTAGATTCCCGTGTTCCCATTCCAATCTCAAACTTCACAGAAGCACCAGGACAGTTTGGTTTCCACGTGATCCATTGCCTTTCTTCGCTATCCTGGGTTTCACAATAGGGATGAACTTGAAAACTAACAAATCCCTCAGAATAACCACTTAACAACCTATCGATGAGATGGAGAATAACATGAAAGATTCGCTTCTCATCACCGACAACTTTATCAGGCACAGCTTTATCAACCTGGAATCCAAAACCAAATCCTCTGCGATTACAAATGCATCTCGCAGCACTAGCAGCCTCCTTAATCAGAGAATGCAAGTAAAACCACCTCATCTCCAAGGTTAAACTCTCATTATTAATATTAGCTATCTCCATTGCATCAGCTATGAGGTTTGAAACAACACGACTAGTTTTCGTAATAGTGTTGATGATAAGCCTTTGCTCAGGACTCAAATCTTCTTGTTGCAACATAGATAGTAGACCCAAAATGTAGTTAACCGGCCTTCTAATTCCCTGGCTCATGACCCTTTGGAAGGAGTGTCTTGCTTCACTTGCCATAAAGGCGTTCTGCTTCTCCTGTAGTAAAGCTCTATTCTGTTCTGCCAGCTTATCCCTCATTAATTGTGACTCTTCCAACAAAGCTGCATGAGAGAGAGCAACGGCTACTTGATCGGCAACAACTTCGATAATTTCTTGTTCATGAACACCCCAAATCCTGCTATCATCGCCAGGGAGAACGAGGACCAAAATGGCATAAGAAGCTTCAACTGACTCGGGCGTCCCGCCTTTAAAATTGGACACCTTCAACATTGGCATCCTAATTGCAGCAATAGGTCCTGGTTCAGCATCTCCCCCGCTGCTTGCCAAAGCAAGTAAGGAATCAGGCCTGAGTATTCTCACACCCTTTGATTCATTAACCTCAAATATATCCTGATCAGTAATGGGAATGGAATGCTCAAACAACTCCATTGAGTGCCTCTGTCTTGACTCATGGGTCAAGTTCATCACCTTCTTAGCATCATCCGGCATCCATATGGCACAATTCTGGAGCCCCAAGGTTTTGGAAAGCTCCACCAGAGTTGTGTAGAGTATAGTATGCCGATCGAGGGATTTACGAATCTCTTGGGTCAGCATCCTTACATACCAACTTGCTTCCTCCTGTCTCTTCATCATTCCAACCTCCCTGTCCAGTTCCTGGGCTTTAATTCGCAGAAAATTTTCCCTCACTTTCAATCTCAAAAGCTGAGGGAACAAAGTTAAGAGAGTAATGGCAGTAGCAAAGGAGACCAGAGCGGTGAAGAGCTTAGATATGGTGAGGCTCAACATTAAGAGAAAAGAGTGGGGCTCGTAAGTAAACACGTTGAGCAAGTGGGTGAGTCCACAAAGGACAATGAAGGCTCCGAACTGGAGGACGATCCATTTGAAGGGAAATAGATCCGAGCAAGTGGCGAAATATAGTAGCTCAAGAGGTATTGAGAAGTAGGCGGCAGCAATTAAGAAATCACTTACTTTCTGGCACTGAAGAATACCTTCGGCGCTAAAATAACTGTCAAAATAGCAGTTGCAGCGGGCATATCCAACCTCAATGGCAGATGCGGAGAGCATAAGCGACAAAAACAGCAAGCCATGGCACAAAGTTCTCAACATTTGATCAGAGGGAGCTTCATTCAATCCATTTATATAAAAGAGGAACGGAAAATCCAAATTCCTTATTGCAGGAAATGATACGTAGTGCCCAGCCTTCAAATGCAACTCCTTGAGCCCTATAGATTCCGTTGACACATTTAGCAAAAAAATGAGAACATGATGGAAAATAGTAAGAAAAATCTAGAAAAAAAATGATAAAATAGGAGGCTAAGCCCTATTTCTTCATTTGTTCAAGCGATTAATGACATTGTTATGTGTTGAAATATTTGAAACAATAGTGAAAGCATAATTCTAGTATTGTACAAAAATCTTGCTCACAGAGAAAAATTACAAGAAATTCATGGGAAACCAAGTACCTTCTACATATAAAACCTGGTAAAAAAAATCATGAGGTTAGTCCAATTTAAATGATTAAACTGGTGTGCGGCATATATTGCAAAGGATACACTATTTTGTAACAGAAGTTATTAATATAAGATGATAGTTGTGGAAGTTGGCGTCCATGATGAAATTAGGATACACCTTGAGGTGTTAGAGTTTTCATTAAGAGATCAATAATATGTTTGATTTTTCATCTTATAAGATGGAACACTCGCAACCAAGAAAGCGGACATCAGTTTTGGTGGCAATAATGAGAGCCGGCCATAGTGGCGATGGTGAGCTCGATTTCGGCAGCAACGAAGAGCTTTAATCCTAATGATGAAGGTGAGTGACGATCTTGGTCATGCCCACAAGCTTCAACCTTAGTCATAATGACAAACATTAGAGTTATTGGTAGGCAACACCATTAAGAGTATATGATTCAATGTTAGTATCAACACCATTAAGAGTATATGCTTCAATGTTATTGGTGTCATCCCTATTGGACAAAAGTCGGCCCTAGAAGAAAAAAAGAAATTTAAGTAAATGGAGGTTTGATGGTGATGGTGACTGTCTGCCTTGTTGGCAACGCTTGCATTGGCATTGTGGACCCATCATCAATACCAACATCAGCATCCACTTATACCAAATTTTATTCCCACCATTATAAAAGGCCCCAACGTTTGTTATCACAAAAAAGGTTGACACATTGTGGCCAATATGCTCACTGTCAATGTCAAAGCTAATGCCAGTTATCACTAACAACATCAACATCCACCATCACCAAATGCGCTTATGCTTGTCATTACCATCAATGTCAGTACCTATTAATGTAACAATTGGATAACTCATGTTATCACCATCAATGCCTACGCTTGCTGCATGAAAGTGCACTAATAAAATTGATTCCCGCCTACGCCATCAAGTCCAATGATGGTCATAGGAGTTGTTTGTTATAAAAGATGTAATTTCACGTACCAAGATAAGTTTTTTAATAGTGTAGTAAAGATGACTTATGAAAGATGATTTTCATAATGCAAGTCTCAGAGCCATTCGTGTTACCATCAATAGATGATCGATGATATGTTTAGTAATTCTTCTTATAGGTGGCAATAATAGGTGCTAATTATTAATTACATGGAGTGCTCACCTTAGCGATGATGACGTGCATTAGTGTTATTGTTAATGAAGAGCATGCAAAAGTTAACGGTGATGGCCGTCAACTTTGGCGGTAACATGGAGTTTCAGCATTATTATCAACGACAAGCAACGACCATATTGGCAGGAACAAGCGACAAGCATGAAGATTGCTGGTTAAAATGAGTGCCACCCTCGATACCTATAGTGGGTGTCAATATTATTATTGATGACGAAGGCCAGTTTTAGTGATGAAAGAGGGCATCAACATTGATTCAAAAATGAGCATCAATCTTATTAACAATGACAAACAAAGCATTGGCATTGGTGACAATAATGAGTACCATCACAAGTATTGATGGCGATCATCAACATATCGAAGATAGTCATTAATCTTAATGTCAACAGAGAGTGTCAAGCTGTGTCGAAGATAGGTATCGACCTTGTTGGTGATAGTGAGCATCCGAGTTATTGACGATAACAAGCTCAATCTTGATCGCAATTACAAACTTCAGCCTTGATATTGGTAACAGGCATCGAGCCTATTAATGATGACAAATATCAAATTTATTGATGAAAAAAGGGTATCAAACATGGTTATGATGATGAATATTTAAGTTGGTATCACAGACAGAAGTTGATCTCATTGGTGATGGGTAGAGTCGAGGTTATTGATAATGATAAAGATTAGCTTTAGTGGCAATGGCAGGCATCAGTCTTGTGAAAAACGGTGAGCATCAAATTTAATGATGATAATAAGCATTGTTTTTGGTGATGATGACAAAGCATACACACCCAAAGACCTTGTTAGCAATAATACCAAACCGTATGCCCATACACACCAACACAGAAGAGTGAGGTTATTGACAATAATGACTATTGAGGTATTTGGGTGTATGCTTTGTAATAACAAACGTCATATATTGCAGGTATACACGCCCAAATACCTTCAATGGAAGGATTTCACTATTGTCTTCTTTTAACATCTGACAAGATGACTTTCACTTCAACACCCTTGAGGTCATCCTATTAATCAATTGAGTTGTTGTTAACACTGTTTGCCCCCATAATTGTTGTGGGACATTCATTGTCATCATCATGCTCCGAGCTACCTCTAGAAGTTTATTCCTCTCTTCTACTCTATTCTATGTTGATGTGTATGGGCATGCGATTTGGTGTTGTATCTCTTGAGCTGGCAGATAGTCTCCAAATACTTTGTTAATATATTATGTCTCATTATTAGATCTCAATGCCTTCACAACTGCCCCACATTGGATCTAAATTGTCTTGTGAAAATCTTTAAATCAAGCAACAACCTCACTCTTCTGTTTCATCAAGTATATCCATGTATCATGAGAAAAACAATTAATAAATGTAACAAAATAACGATAACCGTTCATAAAACTAGTAGAAAAAGATCCCCATACATCATGATGTATCAAATCAAATACTTTAGAGCTCCTACTCATAGAACTGACATAAAAGCTCCTGGTGAGTTTGCCAAACTCATAAGCATCACACACCAGTTTCTTCTTATTTGCCTTTTTATACAAAAATGTATACAAATGACTCAATAGACTGAATGAAGAATTCCTCTCAGATCCTTCTGCTCCAACATTCTCAATCATAGATGACAACATTGAGTACATCCCCTCTTCATCCAAGTACCAGAATGCACTATGTCACGTGCTAGTCCCAAGTTTTTGGTCAGTCCCTTTGGAATATCAGCTTTGAAATATCAACTAAAAAACACATTTTAGTTAGAGTATGATGATACTAATGGATAAATGGTTCATTAGAAAAAAAATGAACATGTAAAATATTGGACAAAGTCATAGAATTGGTAAATCTCATTGTGCCCCTACCAACCATAGATTATGTGTTGACCTCACTTTTGGCAGAGGTCTTTAATAGCCTAGGGTCTAGACGTAGGACCTCCCTGTCGACTATTCCTAGAAAACTAGTAAAGGAGACCTCCCGTTAGAAATTCTGAACTTTTCTTGCTCGACTTGACGTTCCACATGGTGATTTTTGACCTCTAGCACTTAGTAGGTGGGGCTACTGTGAGGGAGCTCAAGGAGAATCCCTATAGGATTGTTGGCCTTAGGATTGACTGTACGCGTTGATCTCGCGTCGTCGTGCACTTCGCCGTTCTGTTTGATTGAGCCCGATCCAAGTCTTTGAAGTGATTCGGGTCGCAGGTCGCACCGCGTTTTTGTCCCGATCGTCAACGAGATTGCCTAAATGACTTCGGTTGACGAAACGAACTACGCCGACGCGTCCGGAACGTCGATTTTGCTTAGGGGGACGTTTATTTCACTATGACAACACGTCTGGGAAAAAAATACACATTTAAGTGTTAATTATAATAATAAATAATATTTTATATTATTATTATTATTATAATTAATAACTTATATTAATCTCTAACCTAATTTTATTTTTCTCCCCTTCCCCTCTTCTGTGTCTCGATCCCGTGGGCTTAGGGTTGGCTCGTTTGGTTGCCTGGCCCGCTTTTTCGTGTCATTGGAGGGATTCGTTCCCGCGTTCGCCTCTCGCACGCAAGACAATTCTTGCAGAAGCCCATCCCTCATCTCCTATCTTCTGTGTTTTGCGCTCGATCTTCTCTGCCGCAGATCATATCCAATGCGAGGATCTCATCCTCTGCCTCTCTCGATCTCTCGAGTCATATGCGATCCCTTAATCATTCATTCTCCTTCTCTGGTCTATATGAGGCTCTGTTTGGTGCATTTTAAGGAGCCGAAAAATCTCTTAGGAAGGGAAAACTCTGTCATTTTCTTTTCTCACTTACTTCTTTAGTTTTTTGTAGTTGGGTTGGCTTCCTATTACTGTTGGAGGAAGAGTTGAAGTTGCGAAGTGCTTTTAAAATTTTTGTGTTGTTTTTTGCTTCAAGGAGGTACATTCTCCCCCCATGTGCCTTGCTTCTTTTCCGTTTCCTCTCTGTCGAGCCCCTTGAACTCGGTGCAGTGGACGATATAGCATGCTAGTCTAGTATTGCATGTATATTTTGAAATATCTGTCACTTTAGCATGTGAAAGATAGAAATGTGAGCATGTTCTAGGAGTTAGGTTTGATTATTTGCTTAAGATGATGAAATTATGACATGTTATTAGCTCCTCTCTTTTCTTTTTGTTCAAGGCAAATTGGAAATATTATAATGTGGCTTCGAGATGATGTTAGCTCCTCTTGCAAGCATGTTAGAATATGTATCATGAAGCTTTTCATTCATTCTTATCTAGCATGAGATATTGGAGGGTTTATTTGGTCTTTCAGGCATGTGGAAGGCTCGGTTTTGGCATCTTATGATCAATTTTTGGTTTAGAAAAAATGCATACTGTGAAGAAATATACTTTGATTTGGAAGAGTTCCATAGCTATTCTTGTTTGAAACATATGGTAGTCCCATGTTTTGATATCTTGAAGGCATGGAGATGTTTTCAAGCCTTTGTTGTGGCCTGGGTTTGAGCCTTAGCTGCGGCTCGATTTGGCTCTCATTGGGAGCTCGGTTTTGCCTTGTTTTGCCCATACTCGAGAGGTAATTTGGGTGTGGTTTTTTTTGCTGGCTTTAGTTCCTACCCGAGAGCCTATGTTTGTGCTTTATATT